GGAAGAGACCAAAGATGGTTTGTCCACAGACATAAAGAATGAAACTTGACAGCCTGATGTTTGTCTTGAGCTGAAAACAAACCAAGCAACAACCTAAACGAAAACCAAACTCAATGCCTTCCAGTCGATTCTGATTCCAAACCATATTCTCCCATGGATCTTCAGCTTTCAGTGGAACGTAAACTCCAGGATAGCAGTGCCCCTATCTATTTCGTTCACTGAATGTAGTTCTTAAAACAGTGTCTGACTCATAGTAGGCATTCAGTAAGTATTTTTTGACTGAATACGGAGTGGCCTGAGTTGATCCAGGGAGGGGAATTCTTTCATTATATACACATACATATACAAAGGGGCTTCAAATATTCACGGGAAAATAGAATAGAAAGATAATAAATAATTTGTTGACAACGCACAACAAATTAAAAAAATGCTAAGTCGAGACCAAAAGAAATGATGGGAAATACCCAGAGGCCAAAAATGAAAAATGGTGTAAAAACTAAAGCTGCTCTTGGAAATGAGGTACTTTTTATTGACCCCAGGGCGTGAGACTGGGGGTGGTGTTCTTAGGTCTCCACAGTATCATATATAAAGTTCCAGGAAGTAGAAACCCAGGTCTCAAGATGCCAAGCCAAATAAAACTTAGAAGAGATGCCCATCTAGGAATGGCAACCAAGCAACAAACTTCCCACTAGCCAGAGAGGCAGCAAGGAGGCTTGCTCTTTCTCTGGGACTCAATGGTGGAATGGAAAAAAAAACAACCCCAAATTAACAGAACTGAAACCCAGACCTGGACCAGGAGCCAGAATTGGGTCTTAATTTTACTGCTTGGATGGGACAGAGAATTCAAGGTGAGAAATCAACATAAAAATGGATCTAGGATCACTGAGACTCTAGGAGTCCAACCCACTACCTTCAAGTCCACGCAGAACCACCCCTCTGGGATTCTGAGGCTAAAACTCTTTTTTTTAATTTTATTTTATTTATTTTAATCGTTTTATTAAGGACTCATACAACTCTTATCACAAGCCATACACACATCAATTGTGTAAAGCATATTTGTGCATTCATTACGCTCATCATTCTCAAAACATTTGCTTTCCACTTAAGTGCCTGGCATTAGCTCCTCATTTTCCCCCTACCTCCCCGCTCCCCACTCCTCATGAACCTTTGATAATTTATAAATTATTATTTTGTCATATCTTGCCCTGTCCAACGTCTCTCTTCACCCACTTTTCTGTTGTCTGTCCCCCAGGGAAGAGGTCACATGTAGATCCTGGTAATCGGTCCCCCCTTTCCAACCCACTCTCCCTCTATGCTCCCAGTATAGCCACTCACACCACTGGTCCTGAAAGGATCATCCATCCTGGATTCCCTGTGTTTCCAGTTCATATCTGTACCAGTGTACACCCTCTGGTCTAGCCAGACTTGTAAGGTAGAATTCGGATCATGATTGGTGGGGGGGGGGCATTTAGGAAATAGAGGAGAGTTGTATTTTTCATCATTGCTACATCACACCCTGTCTGGCTCGTCTCCTCCCCGAGACCCCTCTGCAAGGGGATCTCCAGTGGCCTACAAATGGGCCCAGGGTCTCTACTCAACACCCCCTCCCCCACCCATTCACTATGGTAAGATTATGGGAATTGAAAGCCCCATCGTTCTCCCACTGAGTGGTTTTGAACTGTTGACCTTGTAGATTGCGGCTCAATTTGTAACTACTACCCTACCAGGGCTTCTTCTAGGAGTCTAGAAGAAGTAAAAAGAAAACTTCTTATACAGAAATGTTCCTATCAAGGGCATAAGGTATAGAAACCCACGTCTTCAGTGTGACCAACTCTGCTGAAGATAAACTCACAATAAACAAATAGTAAATCACACACACAAAATAAACTGGAAGGAAAGTGAGCAGATATAAAAAATGAGGGTTAAAATGTTCAAGAGTAGTAAATAGTAAAACGATCGGAATGAAACTATAAAGCTTAAGATTGGTTAAAACAATTTTTAAAAGATTCATAAACCATAATAAAAATACAAGACAGTGTGGAAAAAACAAACAGGTAGATTTGAAAGAGCAATAAACATATTTTTTTCTAAAAGTAAAAACATGGTAACTCAAAAGAAAGTTTATAACATTTAGATTTTATAGCAGATTAGGCACAGATTAAAAAATTTGGAAGAAAATGTAAGGAATTAGGATATAATGTAGTGCTGAGAGTTATTTATGTAAAAACGTAAAAGTATACTTTGAGACATAGAAGGTGGAATAAGAAGGTTCAGTATCTGTACAATAAGAATATCACAGAAGAATAACAAAAATAGTAATAAAGTAGTATTTATTAAGTGGTTCCTATGTCTGGGCATTTGTTCTCTATTATTGCATTAAATCTTCGCAATAACGGAATGAGGTGTATACTGTGATTACTCTATTGTATAATAAAAGAAACTGAGTTGGATGTCAAACAGAAAACAAAGGCAATATCCTAGGAGATTATGGATGATAGCTGCAGAATTGAAGAACAAAATTGAGATGGGATGCATTTAGCAAATACTGATCAGATTAGCTACTAGGATAAGAAAAACATGTTTTCCCCTTATAAACAGGGGAAATATCCTTGAGATTCAAGGTTGCCAGTGCTGAGAGCAGGCAGAGCCATTTTCAGATGCTAAGCCCTAAGCTGCTAACTGGCCACGGCGATGCAGAGGGAAAAGAATAAAGTTACACTTGTGACCCTCACAGTTCTTCCATTGTGGGACCATGAGCAGCTTCATCCTAAACAGGTCATCAGGGAGGGGCTGTCTTTCAGGCTCAGGTTTAATTGACAATGATGCTCGATTGTCTTACGAAGCTAAGCAAGATACACAAGCAAGTCATGCTTCATGAAACCATCCGTCCTTTGGCCCAATCCCATCACCGTTGGCTCTCTCTTTTCTGAAATAGTGTGTCAAACAAGGCGCAGTGCATGCTTTAACTTACAGACGTTGGGGGGCATCAGTGGTTTATGCTAGACTACTAACCTAAAGGTTCCCAGTTGTTGCAGAAGAAAACACCTTACCACCCCATGTTGTTGCAGAAGAAAGGGGTGGTAAGGTGTTTTCCTAAAGATTATGGCCAGGAAAACCCCATGGAACAGTTAGCTTTTGGTGCTGCATGGTTTTGCCGCAAGTCAGAGTTGACTCAGCAGAAAAGAAAGAATTTGGCATTTGGGGGTGTGCTTGAATAACAAAGAGCAACCGAGCGCCACGTGCCATGGCAGCGATATCTCCAACCGACCCACGGAATGCACAGCCCCACACCTTCACCACCGCCTGTGCGCCCTCTCTTTCCTTCACATAGAGCAGAATAAACTTCCGTCCACACACGACACTGCCATTGTACACTGGACAGTTAAGGTCGCAGCTTTCTCTGGGTTAGATGGGTGGTGATAACCTCAATCGAAGAGGATTTCTTCCCTGATGACAGGCTTTCACAGAACATCATCATTCTCCCCATAGGACTGACTGCACCAATACACTCTCCCATCCGATGAAATTAAGGGGAGAGGGATTGTACAATGTCTGCTCCCCTCTAAGGAGAGGTCATGAAATCAATCAAGGCCATTGCCTCTCTCACCAGAAGCTTTCCTGCTCTGAGTGTCCCCTGCTGCCAGGAGCCAGAATTTACTGGATGCCAGTGGATTGCACTGGGGCCACCAGTTACTGTACCTTGCATGGAAAAACAGATAAGTTCTTTGGAGCCCTATAGATATTTGACTTCTTCTTCACCATTGGCTGCCTGAGATACCACATGCCACAGAGGGAAAGTCCACGTGCTGCCAGCTGTGGAATGCTGCATTAATCCAGTCGGAGCAGGAAAGGGATTGAGAAACCATCAGGGACAATTGTCTCTGTCAGGGCCCTTCAACCATTTTATGAAAAGTTTCTATCAGTCATCTGTTTTCCTCCTCTCCTGCACTCTGCCCATTGTTTAACTGAAAAACGCCTTTTTTTCAGGGTACAGTGCCCTCTCTCTATAAAGCTGGTCTGAAGCATGTACGACTTTGTAAGCACAAGAGCCTTTGTTTGGGAAGAGCCACCAATTAAACAAGTTCTTATTTCAAGAGCCCAAGATTCATGCCTCGTGAATAGGAGATTTCCCCAAAGAAAGCCGCCTAATCTTTAAGAGGCTCCGCAAAGGACATACCGGCGGAGTAGCCACGAACATGCCTAAGTACACTGCTCCTTAATAGTTAATTATCTTGAGCGGTGAGTGCTGTGAAATCTGAAATTTCAGACGTGATAGCGCAGATTGGTTTCTGTCCACGCCGATTTACGAGTGGCAGCATACCACTCACAAGGGGGATCACGTCTATTGTTCTGTGTACAATTCATTAAATTATCCCGAGGCGGAGGAAGCAGCCGTCAGGGAGTCAAGGTTCTGAGGAGAAAAGTGCCATCAGCTATAATTGCTGATGGAGTGTTTGGTCAAGTAGCTCTTTTTGATACCAACATAACAATGTTTGGACGTGACTGGTGTTTGATAGATTTGAAATTATATTATGGAAGCGTTTGTTCTCTTAGATGGTTTTGCCTCAAATAGATGTCTTTAAATACATGAAGAAAAATAATACGCCCCACTGCAACCCAGGCGGAAGGAATACCCTCTACTGGCTCATTCCTCCTTAATGATAAAGAAGCATCTCAAGGCACCGGCGCATATTTTCTGCAGGTTTCTCTGGGATTTTTGGTCAATGACTTCTTTTGAGGGGAGACACCAAAGTATCATGTCAGAGACACCTTAAACTGTGTCAACTTAACCAGGTGCAGTTGATCGGCATTTAAGGCCGATATGAGGACTGCTTTTCACCAATCAAGTGGCTCTTCCCATATGCCCATATAATGTGAGTTGAATTCACCTACATGTCCAAATTGTCCACCGGGGCTGTTAATCATTCGACGTACACACGACGATAGGGCAAATACTTTCAAGCATATTTTGGACGACATCATCTCTTTGTATTACTTACCGACCCGATTCCAGTTTGAAGAATTCTCACCCCAGAGGTTTCTTCAAGTTTGCCTTTGCCGTCGACTGTTGGGGGGAGGAGGGTAGAAAGGAAGCACAGGTGTCAGCTGGGCAAATTCCATAACTGTCAAGACACACTTAAGCATTTTCTTCTATTAAAAGGTTCTACGACATCTCTACTTGTACAGCCTAATTTGACAATAATGTCATGGGGCAAAAACCATGGAGTGAGGAGGAGAATCGAAGTCTGAGGCTCGAATTTTCCCTGAGGAAGCTGATTCAGCTCGGGCAAGTCACTGGATACCTTCAACGTCATCTACCCATATATGCAATACTAACGAATCTCAGAATTACAACAATGAAAACTCGACAAGAGATTGTGTGTAGACATGCTTTGCAAACTGTAAATTCTTTCTTTAAGGTGACATAATGGCTGTGGCTTCTACGATTATTTGGTGATATATCTCGTTAACCAGTATTATTTATAAGTAAAAAGACTCATTGGGGAAAAAAAGACTCATCGGTAAGGAACGTTTCCTGTAAGTATTCATTTCATCGGTGCTTTAAACTATTTTATCCCTTCTTCTTCATCCCCCTACAAGAAACAGCCTATAGGAATCATCCTACTGTATTCCTGGCTTAGAATAAGGCAGATTTCCAGAAAATGAAGTACACTCCATATCTTACCCAAAGAAACAAGCTCTGGAAACAATTAGCAGATGCAAATGCAAACTCAGTAATCCTCATGCTAACACTGAAAACCCACCTGCCCCCACTTCATCCAGGGGAAGCTTTATCACAATGCAATTGACCTTGGCTTATGTTTCTGTTGAAGCAGTCTTTTGGATAAAGGTTCTCTCACTTTGGAAATGAAAACCAGAAAAAAATAGGATTTTGTTGCAAACACTATGAATGAAAAGTGCACTGCAATTGTGATTAATGTATAATGAGATAGTGAGAAAATAGCAATTACTTTCACCTCTTATTGTAATACACCTACGTTAATCTTGGGTAATGAAATTATATATTTTAGAATGATATAAATGAGATCTTGCTATAGCCTGCCTTTCCCACCTCTAGAGCCTTTTCATTGTTTTATAGAAAGTTTTTCCTTTGGAACAAATGAATGTTATTTTTCACATATCCACTGCAGGGAAAGAACCAGGCAGACATAAAACTGGGTTAAAGCAAAGGTATTTTCAGATACTTTAAGGCTGGGGGCGGGAATGGGGAGTGATGGCACAAATGTAAACCCTGAATGGCAAGAGAATATATTCTTTTAGGATAGAGCATAAAGCAATCAATTTTAATGTTCTCTCACTAACAAAGGGAGAATTTTACTGAATGGCAAGGTACTTTTGGGGGATAATAGTTAGTGAACCCTTTTAAATCGGCTTAGGAACACAAAGCACATAAAAATGGAATTTTAAAAAGTACATTTATTTCTGTAGAGAAGTAACAGATTTCAAGCTCAGGAATGGGGGGAAAAATCAGTCTGACCAATACTAATGTAGACTATTCTAATTAGGGCTTGGCAAACTTTTCCTGCAAAGGGCCAGATAGTAAATATTTCAGGCTTTGTAAGCCAAACAGTTTCTGTGGCAGGTATATCAGATGTCATGACCATGGAAAAGTACCCATAAGTAACAAGTGATTGGCTATGTTTGTGTCCCAATAAAACTTTATTTACAAAAACAGAAGGGACTAGATTTGACCTGCAAACTCTAGCTTTCCAGACACTACTCTGATCCACACTCTTCACCGTGACCCAGAAAACTCTTCAGAAGTCAGTCTAAAAGGGCCATGCTTTGCCCTCGTTTTTTCGTGGCTCCATCTACCTGCAGGATGAAATTCAGACTCCTGAACAGTTTCAAAGGCCTTCAAACGGTGATTTCAGAAAACCCGTAAAGCCTTGTCAGCAAGCTAGATGTTGTTGAGTTGACCCCAACTCGTGATGACCCCGTGTGTGTGTGTGTGTGTGTGTGTGTGTGTGTGTCAGTGCAGTTTTTAATGGCAACATTTTCAGAAGTAGAGCTCCAGGCTCTTGGGTAGTTAAAGTTTATTGTGCCAACCTGGCCGATAAACACATGTGGGGTTAATTGAAGGGCGGAGAGGTAAGTGGCTCGGTGAGCCTTGCCTTTCTAGTTCTCAGGTCTCTTGCCTCCTAATGGCCGGACCAGGGTGCAGCTGCCTTAGTCAGTTCTCTGCTTCAGCTGGCAAGGCTCACTTCCTGTAAGACATCCCCAAGGAGAAGCCACATGGACCTATCCTGATGCAGCCCTGGGTGCTGGAGCAGCCGTGTGGAGACCCCTGCCAGCACTGAGATGCTTACACATTCACTGACTCAGCTTTCTCCTGCAGTTGGCGTCATTGCGTGTGTTTTGTAAGATGGAGGAGGACTTTGTGGATTGATGTTGGACATATGGGTTAATGTTGTACTTGTGTGCAGCACTGGGTTGGGATGTTTGCTTGATGAGCACTTAACCTTTATATAAAACTCTCTCTATTTTACATGAGTTTCTGTGGATTTGTTTCCCTAAAGTACCCAGACTAACACAGATGAAGATAATCTCAAGGGCACCCCAAACCAAACTCTCTGGCATTTAGTTGATTCTAACTCCCAGGGACCTTCTATGAGGCTTCAGACACAGTAAGTCACTACTGGGACAGCCTCATCTTCATCCTGTGGGGCAGCTGGTGGGAATGAGCCAGCGACCCTGTGCTTAGCAACCCAATGCCCACCCCATATGAGAACATCAATGATAGTAAAATCAGCCAGAAAGGATGATTTTGTGAACTCAGCCTTTGCTTTCAATAACGGTAAGTGTATATAATTTAATTTAAAATCATCTACATTTAATAACTGGCTCACAACATTCCAAAAAATGTGAAAATCAGCTCTAGCAAGCAGGTACAAATTGGCACTGATACACTCCTAAAAATAATGCGTTTATATCCAACATTTAGGTCTTAGTCTATTATATTTCCTTGACTCTAAAATGCATATATCCCCCATATTTTTATCACATTTGAAGTCAGACGTCTTAGGCTCTGTACTGAGTGTAAACGTGGTTATTATTCTTACCAGCCTATCTGAAAAACCATATCCTTCCATGTAACGGACCTTTAAGGACGGAATCTGAATCCTGGCTTCTATATAGATAGTGTGTATTGGCACTTTTCCAAAGGATCATGAACGCACCAGCATCAACACTTCTAGAATGAGTGCCAGCTGCGTGGAACAGCCATTCTTCTGCACTCTTCTGAGAACTGCTGCATCATCCACACCCTGGATGGCCTAGGGTTACAGTGCCAGAAAAATCACAGTGGTCGCATTGGACAGTGATGCAGGAGAGTTGGACTCCGAATGTGTAAATGTCTTTGGAACTCTCTAATCTGTTTACAACGTGTTACAATGTTCTTTTGATGCATGCACAAGAGTGATTTTTGATAAATGAATTTATCAAAGTTAATTCTGTAAACTGAACATAATCTAAAGATGTTAGGAGCATCATGATATGATTTAACTTACAAGACTCTTACTTTCAGAGTGATACATAAAATAAAATAATGGCCCCAAACATATCTGTCTCTCAAGATGATCGTGAGCTCCTTAAGGGCAGTGTGGCCCCTAATTCTTCTTTGTTTTTCCAGGGTCCAAGACAATGCTTTGATGTTTAGTAAATGGCTGAATTGTTCTTTTCATGAATTAATGCAGACCCCAGCAGTCCTAACCAACATGTCTCTATGTGTCTACTTGAAGGGTCTTTAAAAATTAGTTTAGGTCCTGGGTGGCCCAAGCAGTTTGTTGCAGCCTTTACTAACCTAAAGCTTGGCAGTTCAACTGAACCCACTGGCATTGCAAACGAAAGGTCTCATGAACTGTTTATGTAACGACTCTAGCCAAGAAAGCTCTAGAAGGATGAAGTAATTCTACTCTGGCACATGGGGTCACCATGAGTTACTAATGATTCCATGACAACAGGGTGGATTTTAGTCAACTCTGATTATTCTCAACTGAAGCAAACCACTTGGACCATGCAAACTGGGATTCTTTGCAAACCACTAAGGGCATTTTAATCAGTACAAGAAACTAGCTCACCCTTACCAGACCAATTCAAGACTAAATTGCGTGTTAAAATCAAAACAATGAAGTCAATAATAAACACAATATCGTTTTTTGCCTGACCATTATTCAAGTCTTGCTACATGCCAAGCACTCAAGACCGCACTACTCACCCATCACCTTGTTGCTGTGTTCAATCAGATCTCAGTAGAAACGGGTCCCACTTAGCCTGCCAGGCTGCGATCTTTGTGAGAGCAGACGATCGCATTAGCCAGTCTTTTATCCCAATGGCTGTGTGATGGGCTTCAACTCCAGACCTTTTGCTTAACCACCAAACAGTTAACCATTGTACCACCAGGTCTTTTCACTTAGCTCATCTTAATCTTTAAAATGATTGTGCTCTCTGAGTACGCTTATCTTCATTTTAGAAAAAGGAAAACTGCGACTTGCACTTACAGGACAATTAGACGTGGGTCTATCACTCTCTGACTCGGGGATGGTAAGCGTTGTGCTTGCTATGTTTCTGTCATTACGATCTAGGACGATGATGAGCAACACATCTGGGCTGACCCTCTGCTCAGGGTCTCCATTTCCTGATAAGTGTGTTTAGTTGGGAAATGGCGGATTTTGAGCTTCGTGATCTAATGGGTATGTGTGGAAGGAAAATGAAGATGACCTGAGTGAGTTTGTCACTGAGACCATGTTGCAAACCTACTGAAGCACTCTGGGTCTGCTGTTAGGCACCATCACGTCTGCTTCCAGTGGAGTACAATAAATACTGCCTGGTCCTGAGACAGCCTCCCAATTGTTATTTTTTTTATTGTTTTAAGGCAAGGAAAAGGGTTCTTCTAAATACTTTATTGTTTTTAAAAATCTTACAGCCATTCCAGTTATTTTAGCTTGCTCTATAAAATTTAGAATAATCTTGTTAGTATCTACAAAGATTTTCACCTGGATTGGTACCCATTGTGGCAGCCACTATACCAATCTGTCCCGTGGA